GGGTTCAACTCCAGGGAACTGTGCAGATACTGTACACAGGTAAGCTGAGGTCAAGGGATCGACCCCTGGGATCTGCATCGGCTACTGCCAAAGGTGAAAACTGTTTCAGGTTGTTCTGATGGCTGCCTATGCTTGACTGTGTGCAGTGTGGAACCTCCGTATCTGGACATCATATTCCGATTTTGCGGCCAGGGATGGCATAATGAATGCATCGTCTTCTGTGATGCTCATTCTTCCTTCCTGTTAACCTGCAAGGCACAACTGTTACATGCCATTGATCTGGAGTGTTTGGTCGGCATGCTCAATGCCACCTGCTGTGTCAACTCTTGTGCTGACACTGATCTGCTAGGTCTTCAGTGTCATCACCCACCTCATCCCTATCGTTCATGTCCTCTTTGTTGTCAAGGACAGGCCGACTCCTGAGTCTCCTCTATCCTTCCCTATGCACTCATCTTTAATACACCCACTTGCCTTTCCCTTTCTTTTTTCACTCTACTTTGTCTCCCTTCCATCTTTCCTCTCTCTTTATCCCCTCTCCCTTTACTCTGCCTGTTTTTTATAGTGTGCAGGTAGGCCGTTTTGGCGCACAGGGAAGGAGGCAGCTCATGCTGAACAACATTAACATGGCGATCCTTGTATGTGAGATGCGCAGTAACTGGAGATCAAAACGAAGAAATAAAAGGGAAATGGCAAAAGAAAAGTCAAAATAACTTTTAATAAGCCAAAGTGAGGAAAGAAGCCAAAGAACTGCATAGGAAAAGGGAAAAAACGGTTTCAGTGTGCTTCATGCTGTCTGCTATTTTCTTTGTTTGTTTTACAAAGTCAGCCCTGAGACCTTTCTGCTAATCGGACTCTGCAGACTGGAGAGGGTTCAGCCTCCTAGAGAGTTGGTGGAACTCTGAAGTTTTAATAACAAATCTTGACGTAACACATTTTCATAATGAAAACGGACTCTTTAACGGAGTCTATTTTGCATGTTTGAAAATCTGCCTTCTTTTATTTAATTTAAATTACATAAGGTGCCATTGAGACTATTTTCAAATAGCGTTTTTTTTCGTAGTTCATGTGTCACACAACCTCCTCCGTTCCGTCGGGGGTGGTAGAATGCATGTTTTGCAAGTATGAAATTGTCGATTCAAGTCTGATCGTCTCCAATTTCCCCGTGAGCCCACGCAGCTCAGGTGGCAGAGTATTCCCTTGCGAGTTGGTGGAACTCCTATGAAACAGTCTGTCACAGCCCCTCGTTTGTTGTCCTCCTCTTCCTCTCAGCCTACGGTTCACTGGGCTGTTCTTTATAATGATGTTTTCCACGACTTTGCTAGCTCCCTGCTACCAGTGCTACGTCTTTTTCTGGTCAGGTTGAACGGCACTAGTTGGGGCCGTGCTACGTCTGAACGGTACTAGTTGGGGCCGTCACTACTCGACCATGCTGTGCCTCCAGTGCCAGCGGCGTGTCTGGAGTGTACTTTCTGGCTGTGACAAACGTCCTTTGTTTCATGGGGGTTTTGCTAGCTTACAATGGGGTGCGAGGCTGTGAGCCTGCAGTCTGTAGAGTCTGTAGACCTTTCTCAGGGCTGGCATCCTTTTTTCTGCCTGGGGCTTCACTTGGAGGCGGGTGACATTTTTCACAGGCCGCCCTTTTGGGCCTGGCTGAGGCCTAGAGCCTCGCACCTTTACCAAACTTCCAAAGTGTTCTATTTTTGTGAATATGCCTTCCTGTCTCCACTAGAACACTGAAGAAAACGCAACTCAGCTTTAGACATAATAGCTGAAGTGAGGTCAACCAATGGAAATGAGGTTACTGCAGGCTTTCTGGGAGAAAGGCATAATTTACGAGAGCACTCACAAGATGTGCTACTTTCATGAGAGCTGAACATTGTCTTTGTTTGTCTTGTTGCATTCATCAATCTTCAGGGACGACTGCTTGACAGTGCCAACCAGAGACCAGAGTACAGTCTGAGGACACTCTGCCGTGCTTTGGAATATGTCTGTGCTGCTCTTCCAGTCTATGGATTCCAGAGGGCACTCTATGATGGCTTCTGCATGTCGTTTCTCACTCTGCTTGAGGTAACGTGATTCATTCCTCGACCCCTCTGATATCCACCTACTTCACGCTCAGATTTCCTTGGTCATATAAGAAAGTTATTCGGAATTCTGAAGCCATATAGCTGTCATCAATCGTGAGATTCATTACATCATTATCGTTCACGGCCCGCTCCTCATCCTCCTCATCCTCCATATATTCCTATCTTCCTCTTGTTTGCTGCTTGATTGAAGTACCCCTCTGTTTATTGTGGCACATTCATTATGGGGGGGACCAGTAGCGTACGTTGGGACACCACCAAGAGGTTTTGGTAAGTTGCAATACGATGAAGACGCTGTGAATTCTTGCATGGTTGCTGGAGACAGTACCAGTCTCTTTACCGAATCGGCTTTCTATAATTTCTCTCCTGCTCTGCTGACTGCAATGTTGTGTTTCCTCACAACCGTGTCTTCCTCATTCAGGTACTTCGCTGCCTGAGAGTGTCGGAGATTTTGATTAGCCTACCAGCAAGGTGCTCTGGTTTCACCTATCACCTCCTCTGTTTATTGCGGCACATTCATTATGGGGGGGACCAGTAGCATACGTTGGGACACCACCAAGAGGTTTTGGTAGGTTGCAATACGATGAAGAGGCTGTGAATCCCTGCATGGTTGCTGGAGACAGTACCAGTCTCTTTACCGAATCGCCTTTCTATAATTTCTCTCTTGCTCTGCTGACTGCAAAGTTGTGTTTCCTCATTCAGGTACTTGGCTGCCTGAGAGTGTTGGAGATTTTGATTAGCCTACCAGCAAGGTGCTCTGGTTTCACCTATCACCTCCTCTTCATTCATAAAAACACCTCCACCAGAGTGGCCACTTTCATTTCTGCTTGACACAAGGTCGGCTTTGCACCAACAAAATCCATTGTCTGATTGCTCAAATCGTGTTGCACCAGTCCCCTTCCTACTATGTTCTACCTGGTGGACAGCGAAGGCTGTCTGCCTGAATGTGTCAGAGATTTTGATGAGCCTACCAGCATGGAGGTGCCGTGGTTTAACCTATCACCTCCTCTTCATTCATAAACGCACCTCCACTAGAGTGGCCATTTTCATTTCGTCTTGACACAAGGGCTACTTTGCACCGCCAAAATGCTCGTCTTATTGCCCAGATCATGTTCCACCGGTCCACTTCCGACTATGTTGTACTGCTCGGAGAGCGAAGGCCGTCTCCAACAACAATTGTTACTAGGGGGCCCATGGTGGCCGTTGTCTAACATGTTTGTTTGCCATCTGCTGGGCAGTGGTGGCGGGGTCCAACTATGCTTTTCGTCTCCAGCTGTGTTGGTTACTTCGTGCGGTGGTAGTTTTCCTGGTGGTGGTGGTTGAGGTGCACCCATAAATTGCGCTATGTAGATGAAACATGGCAGTGTGAGACCCGCCACGTGCCGTAGAGCAAAGCAATTTTGCTGGGGTATTGGCTAGTCAGGAGATGGAACATGCCTACTTTGCAGGACTCTACCGTGCACGCCTCCTGAAAAAAAAAAGAAGAAAAAACTTCAAAAAAGCCCTGGAATCCTGCACTAACTGACTACTTTGCTGGAGTGGGTGTCTGTGTTTGTGGTTTAGTTATTGGTGCAATTGTCATTGTTATGTTTGTAATTTTACTGTGGTGGTGGTGGTCAAGTTGTTAACCCCGACCCCACTGACAAGTTTGTTAGAGCAGTCGTGTGCGGTTGTTATGGAGCTGCAGTGATTGTTGCTGGTGGAGCCACAGTAATCGTCATTGTTGCGTCGGTGACTGTACTTGTGGTGGTGGTAGTTTTGTAGTGGTAAGTGGTTGATGCTCGGGCAGAGGTGCGTCCAAAAATTGTGATCCATAGCTTAAACAAAATGCCCATTCATCTTCTGAACGTTTATCCTCATTACACTCTTGGAGTTTGTCTTCACCTGTTTCATTAGTAGTGGAAATGAAGTCTGTTGTTTCTCCTTGCTGGGAAAGTGGAACTGTAGTTATTACTAATGTTTGTACATCTGTTGTGATAACTAACGGTCTGGTGAACTCCTTGTGTGCAGCGTCAAAGTGCACCAGTTATGGAGCGCCTAATTTTTCAGTTTCTTCTCAGGAGCCCAACCAAACCATCTGATTCCGTGATGAAATCACTGCTTCGCCCTCCTCAGCAGCCCAGCCCAAACCATATCCTGTTCGAGCAGTTCTGGGTCGAAGGTGGGGCCGCTGAACCATCAGCACAGTCTTTGGAATCAGCAAATCGCTATGTTCTAACGAAGAGTGTGCGAGAACATCTGAAGAATCTTGCCAGGGCAGTTCTTGTCCGGAAGTATCCAATTCTTCTACAGGTTTGCGTTCGCACAAACTTCACAACAGTTTTCTGCTCCTCTGATACCTGTTTGTGAGACTTGGCAACTTAGCAAGAGAGAAGAAGGACAACAGAATAATGAGGATGCAAATGAATATAGTCGGCAAAGAGGGAGAGGGCAGGTTGGGGGTCAAATCATGGTTACGATTCGGATGTCCGGATCCCTGTAAAGCTCATTCGCGTCTGAATGTCCAGCCGGGCGGCCGGTTCGGTAAGTCCGGAAGGGGAAATAAAAAAAGAAAAAGAAATTGGTGGTTCCGGGTCGTTTTGGCCTTCTTGAACTTTTTTTTCTGGCTCTTTCATAATTGGACCTTAAAATTCTTAAATTCTTTTCATATGATGGGTGTTGCTGGAGTTTTAGGTGCAGGTCTTTTTGAGGATGGAGATGGTGCTAAATTGCTAATACTTTTCGTGCATTTAATCCAACTCAATCTGAAAAAACATATTCTTTTTGTGTTATTTGGTCTCAAATCTTTGTGCGAGGCTACGCCCGCTTAGCCCCTACGGGCCTTATTTGCAGCAAGGTCGGCCGCCCTAAGTGAAGGCAGGCACGACAGGCCCTCAGGGCCTCGTTTTCAGGGTACTTCGCAAATGGGGAAATTCAGGCAGTTACACAGCATCAGTTGGTTGAATGAACTCACGCCCTGGGCCGCCTGTGTGAATGAATGAAAACAGGCCCTGGGCTGGGTACAGGTACCGGGCCAAGCACAGGCCGAAAGCAGTTGGGTGTACGCAACTACCTCAGGCCCAATGCCTGCATTCTTCGTGACTGGGCCTCAGGCTACCGGGGCCTACTGGAAGCTTCCTGGACTGGACGCAGGCAGGCCACTTCGATATAGGGAAGGGCCTGCCTCCTCATTTGGGATTCGGGTGCTGGCTGCATGCTGCGTTAACGCTGCTGCGCTATTTGCTGGCTGGCGCCCCCGCACTCACGGGCGAGTGGGGAAGAAGCAGGCAGCCATAGCCACGCTGCCTGCTGTATGCTAGGTGGGGGCGCTGGGTGGTCCTTGGGTGCTAGAGGCATCTGTGTGGTAAGGATCGGGGTTGAGAGCAAAGTGGGAGACATACCTGGTGCTTGAGACGAGCGGCATTGGCCGCCTATGCACGTACTTCGGTGAAGCTGGTGACGTCAACTCCGGCATTGTAGTAGGAGACTAGATAAGATCTGCCATCTTGTAGTCTGGGCGCCGAGCGCCAATAGGAAGCCATCTCTTGTTCTTTGTTGATGATGATGAGAGACAACTTCAGCATTGTCAATTATGAACTATTGCTGTGTTCTTATTTGGTATAACTCGTGATGCCATTCTGCTTATGGTACGAGGTCATGGCTATTTGGTCACTCATGTATGATGCTGTTTGAGTTCTGGAATTCGCTATTGCTCATCTTCCTTGCA